CATATATGGACTAACTTACAAATTTTAGTCAAATATAAAGACGAATAAATAAAATGATAATGTTGTTATTCTTCTTTTCTAATTTTTGGGCCTCTCCACTTCTCAATCCCACTCTCTTCAATCTTCAATAGAAGCTAGAATTTATTGCTCTCTTTACCTCTTATTTCAAAACCCAACTAAGTCTCATCAAATTTTCTTTTTTTCTCAACTACTTCACCATTTTCACTTTCACCCACACCACTCCCTTCGCCTCCAATTCCAATTTTACTTTCTTCATTCTTCTTCTTTACTTGCATAAACTTCAATGAAGTTTAGAGTCTCTTCCTCTATTAGCTTCTTATTCCCAAAACACTACCAGAATTTCATATTATATAGATAAATCTATTGATGAATTTTAAATGATTATAGACAAATTTTAGTGTTACACACATATTTATAAACAAATAAAACTCGTTTCTAATTTTGGTGTCACTAATTCATACAAATAAATTTTTAATTCTATCTGTAATTTACAAATAAATTTTTCTGTCTGTAAATTTATAGACAAATTTTTCTATCTATAATAAATTAATTTATAACAATTATTTCGTTTATAGTTCTTATATCATCCCATCAAAAGCATCTTCTTCTACCACTTTTCTCATCTCACTCACCACTTCTCTAAAACAATACTTCTCATTCTCAAACACTCTATTTCCCTCACACTCTAACACTTCGTCCCCTTCAGTTCCAACATCATTGTCCCTTCATAACTCTATCTTTCTTTAATTTGATACATTCATGATGAATCACTCTCCTTCATTGTTGCTAATCCAATGCATATTTCAACCTCCTCTTGAAATGCAAGACATTCAAAATAGACACCTTTTCGTGTAATCCATCTGTAGTAAATAATTTATAACAAATAAGTCTATATTCTACACCAAAAATAGAAAAATAAAATCGACTAAAAGTTAGGGTATAATAACAAAAATACAATGGTGCAATTTGTTTCTAAAATGGAGGCTCAAACCACTAGCAATGCGCAAGGAAATGAAAATGCTAGAGAGAGATCAAAGAGAGAGAGGAAAATATAAAAATGAAGAAGAAGAAGGAGGAGACACATTTTTATTCTATTTGGCATATTATAAATGATTTTTTTTTATCTGTAAGTGTATTAATTAAACGTAGCATTTTATTAATTGACTTATAGATTGAAAAATTTGTCTAAGACTCCATTCATGAATTACTGTGTTTCATTAATGCAGTTACAGATAAATTTTACTGTGTGTAATTTGCGCATAATATTTCCTACCTTATTTTAAATTACAAACAAAAAAATTGGTCTGTAAATCCGTTTGTAATAGAAACAAAACAAATAATCTGTAAAATTGTAGATTGATTTTTTTGGTCTATAAATTCATATGTAAAATTACAAACAGATTTTTCTTTTTGTAAATTCGTCTATAATATTGAAAGAAAAAAATATCTTTATATTTATAGACGAATATTATTTGTCTATAATACATACGAATTTATCTAAAAATTAAAAAAATCTAATTTAATAAATTTTCGTCTATAAATCTATCCGTATTATAAATAGAAATTTTTGTCTGTAATTCGCATATTTTTAGTAGTGAAACTCAACCAACTCTTAACAATTTTTATTAAATTTCCTTCTCTTCTCAACTATTTCACTATTTTCACCCTCACCTTAACCGTCACCCACACCCACTCACTCCAAATTTTAATTCTTCATCAGAACTCTTTTCATCCTCGAATGCGCTCCTTTAGTGTTGGTAGCAGTAGAATCGTCAACTCATTCATCTACATTTTTTTTCTATTCCCTCGACACTATCAAAATCAAGATACAAACCAAAAGTGTCTCACAAATTTACAAAAATACCTTTTAACTCAAATTGGTAAGTTATTCTCTATATGTACAAAATTTGTAAATTAGTTCCTATATATAAAAGTTTGTAAATCAGTCTTCACGTGTATAATTATTTCAATTTAGTCTTTTTACTCATTTAACATCGTTCATTTTAAACTTAATGGCAGAAACTAAATTGAAAATAAATATACATTTAGGGAATAATTTATAAATATTTTACGAGTAGAGACTAACTTACAAATCTAAGTCAAATATAGTGACCAAAATATTATTTAAACCTAAAATAATTTACTAAAAAGATTAAATAGAATGATTAAATTTTTTATTTATATATTTTTGTCCTCTCTGAACGTACAAATAAAAAAAAAGTATAAATTTTCTCTTCTACGGTGATCCTTAATCAATGTAAACCCGAATCATATATGATACCAATGTCTACTATAAAAACTTTATACTCGTGTGTTTGTATATCCCTTCTTCGCACCTAAGAAAAAGTAAAAACAAATAGCAGGTTAATACCAGGCACTATTTTTAAAATTTTAAAAATATATTTATTAGCCTTAATAAATTAAATATTTTCTAATCTATAGGGTTATGTATATTATTTATAAATTTTACATATTTTAAAAATTATGATATTTCATTGGTATAAAGTGTAAATACTATAAATCTTATTATATTTTATTAATGAACTTTCCTATAAATAAAAAATTATTGATCATTACTCTTTATATATATTATTTTCTAATACCACTTCCTTAGAGACAAATAAGATATAATATTTGTCTTGGAACATTTGGAAGTCACGGAACAAGAGAGATTTGGCATACAAACTATATGGTCTATACAATTTTTTGGTTAGGTTAAATTTGCTTCTGCAGAATATGAGATGTGGAGCTATGTCAGTAATTTCAGCTACTACAGCAAATGCAGTGTGTTTTTCTGTGATCTGGTGGATGGTTTAAAGTGTGTATGACCTTATATTCTTTGGTGTTTGGTTAAAAAGGAATAACTGTATAAATTTTGAAAGACCAATGAATTTAAAAATTTGTTAGTGAAATATTTTCTATGAATTCAAATATGCTTTTGTTTTAATATTATTATTTTATAATTTAACATAAAAAATTATTTTATAATAATTATTATCTTTAAGTTTTTTCTTTTTCATTTTTTACACGTATAGCCTACGGATACACAGTAGTAGTCTCCACTTAATCCTTTCTGTTTCACTTTGACGTTCTCAATTTCTCAAATCTTGACCAAATTAAATTATTTATTAGAGTTTGTAGTTTTTTTAAAATAAACTAATAAAGCTGTTTGATTCACAAAATAAAAAAAAATTAATTTCTTAAGGTTAACTTATAAAAAATTATTTAAAATAGTATTTAACTAACTTTTTATTTTATTCTTAAGTTATTATATACAAAATAATATTATATCAATGATACTATTATATATCTTTTTAATCATTTAACACATTTACATTACTTAATAAAATAACTATGACTTAATAAAATAATTAAAAAGTATAAATTTTAAACTATAAACATTCATCTAACTTATCAACTATAAAGAAGAAAAAACATTAATCAGGTATACACGTATTGAGCATTTGTACGTGTCAGTAAATAAGATTGGTATCAAAGTTAAGACACAGTACAATCTCTGCGCTGACATCTGGAGCCACGGGCAAGACTACTTCCTTGCCCGGTTTTTGTTTTTTCTCGTCCGAATAAATATATTTCACCTTTATGGATTGAGATTTGAAAAGCTCTCTCTTTCAAAAACAAATAAACTTTTAAATATTGAGCTACATTACTTTTTAACACAATTTTTAATATATATTTTTTAAAATCTTTTTATGACATTGTCTATTCTATTTGTTGATTATCTTCTCTTTTAATTTATTTTCAACTTTGATTTGTGTTTGGGCCAGCATCCAATTTGTACCTTGATGCGACGCTACACCTATGTTATTGAAGTGTACATATATCAACTGAGTATAAAGAAATTGGATTCATATTTGTTCATTTTTATTATTCAAATGAACGCATGTTTTCAATATATCCATGCAGTTTCATACATAAACATAGATACTTAAACCGTGTGAAATACCTATTTAACGTCTCATTTTTTAATTATCATATTTATTTTTCTATCTCTATGTATACACACTCCAAGAGATGTGCACCAAATATTCTCTTTTTAACTTTAGTTGTAGAAAAAAGTGGTAGGAATAATATTATTTTGTCACATTTATGCAGAAATTCCTTCGGATTCTTGTGAAGAGGTAGGTCTCTTTCTCCCACCGATCACTACAGCTTTTCCCTTTTTCTCCTCCGAAAGCAAGATTTGGGAACCCAACACATTCTTCCAGTTCCGGGGACTGAAACCCCCTTGTCATTTCACTGTCACTCACACACACACATTGTAACTAAAACCTCAGCATCCCATTACAGCATCAAACCTCAACTCGAATCCAACCCCAAACCCACTTCCCAACAACCATTCCACCCCAATTCTTTCTTTAGAATCAGTGTAAGGCTCAGGAAAAGGAAAAACAAAAACACATCTCATGGATCAAAGAAAGGGTATGAAAGAGAAACGAATATGCCATTTTCTACAGCTTGGAAACTCACAGAAGCATTGCTTTTACAGAACATACAGACTCCTATCCTTCACTGTCACAAGTCACTACTTGCACAGCACGTAATTTAATATAACTACATTTCTTTCTTCATTACCCATCACTAACATTCTTACCCTCCTCTTTTTCCTACTTACATGCAAACATTCCAAACATCACATAAACCCTAGCTACCTTAATTACCCTTTCCATGCAGAGGCCCTAAAACCCAAAATCCCACAACGCATCCTATTCCAAATTAAACAAACACATTAAGAGTGATGTAAGGGAATAAAAATGCTGAGCTCTTTCTCACCTACTTCATTTGCATGTATAATTACTAAAATAGATCTTTTCATGTTAAATTTTATTTCAACAATGTCACGTTAAGATGTTGTGTCTATCTCTCTCTTAATAATAAAAGTTAACATTTATTGAAAAAAGAGATAGTTACAAAATATAACCGTGACATGTCGAATACATGAAAAGATTAGTCTCTATTATTTAAGGCATTAGCCTTCGGTCTAAGCCACGGCGTCGTTTTGACCTGTCACTGGAATTGGATCGGTCTAACAAAGACTTGAGCGAGTTCTGAAGGAAGTGAATGGATTCAATGCTGTGTTCTTTATCAGCAGCAACCACCAAAACGTTGCGCGTTCTCCCTCCAAGCGTTGCCATTTCCGCTTTCAGGGTTTTGAGATGAAGAGATTTCAGGATTTCTATGAGATCAGGGATGAGGTCGGAACGGTCCTCGCAGCAAAGAGAGGCTTTGAATATGAGTCTTCCGTCGCCGGAATACTCGCCGCCGGTGGATAGCACGGTGATCTCATCTGTTTCCGATGGAACCGTTTCGAGTTCAGTGATTTCCGAGGTTTGCTGCTTCAGCTCTTTCACTCGTTGAACCACCTTCGCCAGAAGCGAAGCCTTGTCTGTCTGAACAAAAAATAAATTATAACCAGTTTGTAATATCAATACCCACTTTCTTAACATGTATTTGAAGATAAATATTGAAAATTTAGATATAATATTTTTAAATTAAAGAATTTAATATATTAATTAAATGTGTAAAAGCAAACTCACTTTCCCAAACTCAATTATGCGTGAGAATGTCCTTACAAATCAAACTGCGGTTTCTTTTTTGATACATGACATGAATGAGAATCGTATGGGGAGGATGAAAAGACAAAATCGAAACTTTGGATTTTACGAGTTTCCTAGAAATTAATTAAGGATCTTCATTTTGAGTTTAACACTTCTATTCATTCATTCACTTCACTATATACACACATTCATATTCCACGGCAATCAAAGTGCAGTCAACTAGAACACACAACACGCATTTGTTGGTCAAAAAAGTATGCAACCTTTGAGAACAAAAGAAGGAATCTCTTGGAAAAACAGGAAGCCAGGAAAAGGTGACAAATACTGAAAACCAAAGTAAGAATTAATATTGCATAGTATATATACCTTAGAATTACAAGGCAGAAGAGTGCGAAGTTCGTCGAGGTGGGAATTGATTCTCTCCCTCCTTCTCTTTTCAGCTTCTTTGTGGTTCTTCATGGCAGCAAGGGCTCTATCTTGGTGGGAGGGTGGCTCGGTAATTTCGGACACATGGAAGGGGTAATAGTTATTGGAGGAATTAGTAGAGAAGGTGTGGTGCATGATGTGAGGTGAAGAAGCGTGGAAGAAGGAAGCGTTGTTGTTGGGGGAAAGGAATTGGAAGAGGTGAGAGTTATCCATGTCAAAGTGGTGCATGATAGATGAGGCAGAGAGAGAGAGAGAGAGAGAGAGAGAGAGTGAAGTGCGTGTGGCGGGGTGTGGTGTGGTTTTGTGGGGTAATAAGAAGAGAAGGAGCGAGTGTGGTACAGTTTGAGTTTTTGTGGTGGTGAACGTGAAGTGATGCTTATGATTGCGCTTTTTGACTCGCTCCAACGATTCTACTGTTACTTGTGGAAATTCAAATCAAACCCTCTTCTCCTATTCCTATTGCCTTTCGGTGCCCATTTCTTTTTCTTAATATAAATTATTATTTCTCAAAATAGAATACCCTTTCGTATTAATTGTTTTCTAAATTAAATATGTCCTTCATTATATTTATACTCCCTCCTCTTTATTTGGTTTGCATGTGTCTACGGGACCCACTTTATCAACACTTATAATCCATACGTGTGTATCCTATATATCAAAACATATCTGTTACTGTACATTTTTTGTCATCGTAGTTCAGTAAACGAGTCATTTTTTATTTTTAAAATTATTTAAATTGATCTTTGTTTCAAATATTTAAAATGTAACGAAATTTGTTTCTTATTTAAAATTTTTATATATTTAAAATGTAATATCATAGCTCTATTATATTGTTTAAAATATTGAATATTTTTTTTAAATGAAAGAGTTAATTAAAACAATAAAAAATTATTAGAATTAAATATAATCAATTAAAATTAAAGTGACCAAAATCATACATTAAGTATATAAGAACTAAAAATATAACAAAGTTAAATAGATGCTATCATATTAATTTTTCACATAACAGTAATTAAAATTAAAAATTATTTAAAACTTATGACAATTTAAAGTGTCACACGAGAACCTGATAATTTTTTTCACTTTTACAAAAAGTAATCTTGCATGAGTCTAGAACATTTATAATGTGATGAGACCAGCACAATTAACAAACATTTCTTTCTAAACATAAAATTTCAGCTTGAGACGTTACTTAAAAAAAAAAAAAAGCAAACATCACTTAGATTCACTTTCGTAAATTTAATGTTTTAATCATAATAAAGTCATAGATAAAAATATAGCTACACAAACAAATATATAGTTAAATTAACGCTTCTCATGCTTTCCTACTCTCATTAAACATGCATATATATGCTTCCTTTCACTTTATATATATATATATATATATATTATAAAATACATATTCTTTTATTTTCTATTATTGGTTTTTGTATGAATTCAATATATAAAATTGAGTACTCACGTTTAAAAAAAATTATCATTTTTTTTTATGTATGACTGAATAATAGAATTTGAGATGCAGGCAAATAGCAGTGCAACTAGCTCAAGAAAATAAAAGTAAAAAAGTTATGGTCTTTTGGGATGAGGGATAAATTGAGCAAAAGACAAACACTAAAAATATATTTTTAATACTTTCTTTTAAATATATTATTATCAATTAAAATTTATTAAAAATTATAAAAGAGATTCGTTAAATAGTTCAAACAAATTATTTAATAAAATTCAACAAATTTTAACTAATGATAAATAGTATATTTAAAACAATGCGTGGAAGTTTAGGTTATACTAATATTTATATGTGATCAAACATCTTTATCTCTATAGATCATTTCCGTCAGAGAACGCCAATGACATATGAGCATCAAAGATCTCCAATATACATCCGCTACTCCTTTGCCACTGGACACCATTTTAGCCCTTAATCTCCATCTAACTCAAGCTTAATGGATTCATTTTCCTAAAAAAAATTGAACCTTGGGCTATACAATGGACAGAGCACAGAACTTTGGTGGCAAAAGCCCTTTAACTATGTGCAAATAAAGTTTCCACTTTAAGCTATATTCATTAAAATATAATGATCTTAACATTGCAAATGGGGATGTAGCTCAGATGGTAGAGCGCTCGCTTAGCATGCGAGAGGTATGGGGATCGATACCCCGCATCTCCACTTTTTTGTCTGTCTAGGGAAAGATGCACAATTTAAGGGGTGATATACGTTTTTTGGACTTACTTGTAAAAAAAATTTTAATAATATTTTTACTAATGACTAACATATTTTTAAAATCACACACATTATATAGATTTTTTTTTAATTTACATTTTATAGTTTTTAATAAATTTTAATTTATAATTAATTTGAAAGTATGTTAAAAGATTTATTTCTAACACGCTTCATACTTCTACAATTCAATCATTAAATGTCTATTTGTTAAAACTTCTACAACATGTATAACCATGTTAGGGCATTGTTGCGAAATAATAAAGATTAGAATGTGTTTACAAACAAAACTTAAACGTTTAAATTCAATTTTAAAATTATGTATTAACTCACATAAGATATTTTAAAACTGGAATTTTATCCAATATTTTTATTATAGTTTTTTACAATTTTGAAAATGTCATATTGTCTCGTTATTAATTATATGATAATTTTAAACTAACACTTTTTTTAGATGCTAATAATCATCATCAATTTCCTTGAATCTACTCATGAGTCTTGATATATCATTATAATGGTTATATTAAGAAGTGTTTCAGATGGATTTGAAGAGTGAGAAATTATATATGGTAAAGAAAGAAATTAAACGGTGAAGAAGAGAGTATTCTTTGGGCTAGTAAAAAAAACGTGGGTCAAAGGTTTTATCAAATAGTGCAAGTAATAGAGGATTGATTGCTTTCATTAGTCAAAATTGTGGGAGACAAGTGCAACTCACCTTTTAGTGTTGCACATTGCCTCAATTATTTGTTGTTTCCATTCCATTTTGGTGAAATAAGAAAAGCGTAGTTTGAAAACATTAAGAAGAAAAATTATTTCCGTGCAAAGTCATAGAAAAAGTGAAACAAGAACGATTGAAGATACAAACTTTATATATTGTTTTAACTTAGTCAAACCCAAGGGGGAACCTTAGTCCAACTTTTGAGCATTCCTTGATTCAAATGTCATATAATTTATTCATGGTTCTATAATAACTACTGTATCTTCTATCTCAAGATTTGAGCTTCTTTGGAGCATCTTACCTCTAAAGTTTTCAACTCACTTGTAAAACTAAAGTTTTCATACTTCCACACTTCCTTGTCAGTTTTAAGTATCATAGTTGTTACCTAACCTGCCTCAAAACTACTACTATTGTTTTTCAACATAAAATATTAATTAAACTTAATCAAAATCTAAGTGGATTAAAAACAATAGATCATAAATAAAGCTAAGGGAGAAAGGCAAAAAAAAAATGAAAAGAAGTTATAATATTTTAAATAAACTTTAATTTAAATCAATTGATAATACTTTGGTCATTGGTGCATTTAATTTATTGATGTATATACACAATTAGTGCATGTATAAAAAGAGGGGAGGGGGAGGAACACCTTAAAAACAATACATTTTCTAACAATTAGCGCCAATAATATTTTTGAATTGCATGCACGAAATATTAAAAGCAAAACCCGACTGAATTAGGATAAATTTAGAGACCCTTCACTTTTCTTAATTTTTTTGGTCCAAAGAGATCTTCAACCGGCGATCATGTGCTCATACGTAAGACCCTAAAATGCAGTTATCATTAGCCAAAAGTTATATCACAATTTTACAACTTGAACCTATAATCTGATCTGTTGAGTCAAATTTTAATTAACTACATTAATCTTTCCTAATTTTGATAAAACCATAAATGGAAAGATAAATTAGTTAAACAATATGGATTACAAAAAATAGCTGTTTTCTAAGATTGAAACTCGATCTCCTTTCAACTAAAAGCAAACTTTGAACATTCTTTTGATACAGTAAAACATATCAGAGATAGAACAGGCAAAACAAAGAAATTAACGACCACCCCAGTCTTAGGGTTTCAAACCCTGTCAAATAGCTTTGGTGTAAAGTCAGCTGTGAAAAGGGCGAGGATTGGGACCTGCCATCCAAAGCCTCAACTCGACACCCTTGTCCCTAGACCCCCAAGAAAAAGGCTTAAAACACCGTACTCATTGTGTTTCCAAGAAAAAAGAGAATCCAACTCACTCAACCAATAATTATGCTTAAGATACATATGAAAAATATATTTGAAAAATATTCTATAAAATTATACTTATTATTCACAAGCTTCTTTCTTTCTTTGTCCACTGTACATCCACTTGGTGAAGGGGAAGAGACGTTGAGTTGACAAATTTAAAGATAAAAGGTGAAAAAAATTATAAATAAGAAATTTTATTTTATGTTTACATGTTACAATTTTTTAAGTATACAATAAACTTGAGTAGTTGTGTGTCATATTTTACAATTTTGTTTATTTAAAAACTATAGATAAAAGAATTTATAATTTTATTTAATAAAAAATTATAAATTATAAAATAATAAAATTATATTAAAAGCTTGTGAAGTTAAGTAAATAAAGAATATTGATGTATGTTAAAGTTGCATGTCTTTTTTGTCAAGTAAGTGCATGTTAAGGGATTAAAAATATTGAAGCCTCTCTTCTCTCGAAAAAAAAAAAAGTAGAGTAAGTATTAGCCACGGGAGAGTTAAGTATGGAATAGAACAGGATTGATAAAATAAATAAACTTCGTGATTATGATATACTTTAAATCATTAATTTCAAGTTTGAACTAACATTTAAACCCAACTTTGGGTTCAGTACGGGAGCTAAAATGGCTAGAGTTAACATTTCTCATTGAGTGCAACACTGTATTTTGTATCAAGAAGGGGGAAAAAAACCTTAATGCTTTCATAATTTCGAAGTTATTTTAAAAAAATATCATGTGTAAGATATAAAATTATAATTTATTTTATATAAAATTTTATTAATACAATTCACATTATATTCTGAATTATGATAACTGAAAAGGACACAACTAAAAAACTGTAATTTTGCAACTGACAAAATCAGTCACTAGAATATTGAAAATTCGATCATCATAAATAGACTTGGTGAAAGAATATATCTACCCTGTTTGCAAATAAATTTAATGACCAAAATATTGTTCGATTACAAAATTTTGAGATTAGTCATCAATTTAATTGGTTGTAAAAAAATTTTGTGGCAAAGTGTTGTAGAAAAATTCACAGCCAATCAAACCAATCACTGAAATTTTGGTCGTAAATTGGTCTCAAAAATGTGACCACCAATTAAAGATTTGTTATTGTAACTCTCGAGTATCACAACTATTAACCTCGGCGTCTTCCCGTAATCATCCGGCATAGCTGCTTTGACTGAGTTAGAAGAGTACGATGTATTAGAAGTATTGAATTAGTCAGCAAACAAGCATCGATGGGAGCTACTTTAACGTGTTTTGATGAGATTCGTACTCTCGAGAGAGGAACCAGGTTTCCGATGACACAAAAAGCACATGAAAAGACATAAGGGGTTTCGGAACTTTTCTAGTGCTAGCAAGTAGCTAACGAGCTTTTTCATGTGCAGGTACTTGAAAATCCAAAATTATTTAAATGATGCTCTTTCTACACGTAACAAAAATTTGAAACGACAAATTTCAGAAACGTAAAGTCCCTAAAATTGGTGCATCACCGTACAAAAACTTTCATACTACAGCTAAACTTTCATTTAACTTATACTTCTTCACTATTCTTGGTTTTACTGCCCTTAAAATTTGACAGTCTGCTTCCTTAATAACAGCATCACATGACTAAGCAGCAAAAAAAACCACTTGTTTCATGGAACCAGAGTCAAGTGATTTATCAATTGAACGTAAGAGGGCCAACCACAAGAATGTTCCAACAATCTTCAGATGAAACGTTGTTTCTTGATACTAAAGTCTTCTAGGACTTTTCCATCCAAATGTAAACAATGACCACAATACTTGCTTACTTTAGTGAGTTCCTAAAGGTGGATAATATTTGCAACAATGATATTGAGGTTTTTAATACAAAAATTGTGTGTGCAAACCTATCATCACAATACGAGAAGAAGTCAAGTGCTATATCATGACCACAATATGTACCAACAAATTAAAATTAGATGGTTATATGAGTTATCTGCCCCCAATACAACAAAGCAGGTTGGAAAAGGAAAAAGTTCAAAGTCAAAAGTAAACATCAAGTAAAAAATACTTTAAAATGCAACATTTCAATAGTTGTTTCTACTATTATTTTCTTGTTCTAATATCAGTACACAGTATACGGTACAAGTGATGATGATGGACACAAATTTGAGATCTAATGTAGGCCATCCAAAGTCTACTAATTTAGAAACACATTGATACATTTGTAAATTTCGGCAACTAGCAACTAACTTTTCTTATGTTTCAAACCTGAGTACGAATGCCTTGTATGCATTAAATTGCTAACATTGCCTATAAGAATGAAAAACCATAAGACTATTGTCATGGATGACTTCATATAGATCTACATATGAACATAACATTCAACCCGCTCAAGGACAATAATTTGGGAGCACAAGGACCAAATTTGATCAATCCCACCCAAAATCAAAAAATTTGTTGGTAGGTAAAAGAAACAAAGGAGAAGAGATGGAAAAGAGAAAGTAAATCTACATAACTCAAATAAATTGAAAAGGAGATTGTCTGAGTTCAAATGTTTAGTTTGTGGAGAACTAAATCATTATACATAAGGCTATCAAATTACAAAGAAATAAAGACTAGAAACATTCATGCATAACACACCACCACTAATGAGAGTGACCTAACTCAATATTACAACTATAATCCAATTGGCAAATTCCAACTTAGAAGACATTGACATCTCTTAGTCCTAGCTCATACTAGATGAAAATGGTTCACAACCTATTAAAAATGTCCTTACCAAGCTTAAGTTAAGTATTAAGACATAGAAGAATGTTATAAAGCCTACTCCAAGTGTCGTTCATAATCTACCTTCATCCTCACCACATAAGAATGTCAACACATCCCTGAAGGACCTATGACATTTATGCCCGTCTCAGGACTTTAGTTACAAAATTATCTATTGGTTGTAATTGTAATTTTTTTTATGAATATTTGGTTGTAATTGGGTAAAGCTTCCCTTCTTACTTACTTATTTCTATTTTATAATTGAGCAAAACCCACTTTTTTTGTGACATTTATCTACTTTTGTTATTTTCCTTCTCTTTCAACTACTATAATTAAAGAATTACTCTTCTTAATGCATTTAACTGTGCAATTTTTGTTTGACATGAGTATACATTGTTGAGCAGATATTGCTTATAATAGACTTATTTTGGAATAAGTGTCTATATGTAAATAAATATAATTAAAAGAAATATATCATTGATATTTTAATTGAAATAAAACAAATGTAAATAAATCTACAATTATAATTACCAACTTTCTTTCATTAATACAACAAACTTCCAAAGGCAAGTAATATAGGTTTATAAGTTCAACATGCTTAATTTAAACACACTTAGATGAGTAGCTTATATCTTGAGCTTTGGAAATAAACTACCACAAAAATCATCAAACAAAATATTAAATTATATTTAGATACTACACTTTCAATGACAAAATTAACTTTCTAAATACTAAAATTCTCTTCTACACCGATCATATTCTCAACTTACGGAAAAATACATGCAATGATTTCCTGTTTACAACTTTCAATTCATGCATTAGTGTAAACCCCTTCATTTGGATAATAGTAATAAATAAATAAGTTTAACGTCTTATCCTATAATTTGGACACCAAAAAATAGCTTATCTAAATTTGTTGACGTTATTAACACTAACAATTGCTCTCAAGTCACATGGCAAATCTTAATACCCCGAGCCTCAATATTGCATACTTGTTGAATGAAATGCTGAACTCCCATGGTTAGAATAGCTATTGTTGCTTGACATGAGATAAAAAATAATGTGAATTATTAAAATGAGAAACAACAAGATATTATGAAGAACAAAAAAGGTAAAAAAAAATTATAATGAATATTCATAATATGACATTATATATGTCACCTCAAATTTCTTATGTAGTAGTTGACATAACACATAAATAATAAATTTTAATTAAATTATAACAAAATATTTCTTATGTGATAGTTAACATGACACATAAGCAACAAATTTTAATTAAATTATAATAAAAATTGTTAATAAGAATCAAGTATTCCGCGTTAGACCTAATCGAGAATCAACAAAACTCTTTAAAATATTAAGAACTAAATCCCGTGTCATTTGGGCCTTCCTTATAACAAAACTCATTTTTTATTGTTTGTATTTAAACATATATTTAAAATAAATCAATAATAATAATTCAGCTTTATAAAGTTTAAACTCATTAATTGCTTATTGATTAATTTATATAGATAAGTTGCTTTTCAACTGAGCGTGCGAACGCCAACCTTTAAGAAACTACTGTGGGGACTCGAGGTTATTACAAAAGGAACCCATACTTTATTGCACTGTCCAACGAACAAAAGTTACTCTTAAAAATATTATCGTACAAGTCTATTAAAAAAAATTAGTCACTGTATTATTCTTTTAAAAATTCAAAGCATTACTGCTCTATTTTAGAAAAAAAAACTTATCATCAATTAAGTTCCTTAATGATTTATAATAAAAAGATTAAAATGGTAATAAAAAAGTTAATTTAATTAAAAATTAAATCTTAAAGAAGCTGAGTTGATGATAATTCTTAAAAGACTAAAATGACAACAAAGCGAACCTTTTAAATAACCAAATTTTTAAAAGATTACATGGTAACCTACGTAATTATTATAAAGATATAATGTGCTAAACATATATCATTGATATTTTGCTTGAGTATAGTTCCAATTAATTGTAGTAAGAAGATTGCTTAAAATAGTAAAACCCGAGAAGAGAAAAAATGCCTGTATTACAGTAGTCATTAGATTGCTTTGGATCCAGCCTTGGGAAATATTAATTGATAGCGTCTCAAAAAAGGCAAAAGAAACCCATCTTTCAGCATTTATTAATGAACACTAAACGGCAGTGCAATAAGTGCTCTTGTCCTCTCACCTGCTTAAGCCAATCCAACAATACCCAATGGTTCCGCAAGCTGGTCACACCATCCATTTTTCAGGTAAAGACTCAAAATAGGGTGAAGCACCATGTGTCATGTGATGTGCTAAAGAAACCAACCTTAGCCCTAGCACTCAAGCTATGTGAATAAAACCAAGAGCAGCTAGGCTAAGTCCTAAGCAATAGTTGCCAACAGCAGGACCATACTAGCTACCTTAGCCATTGCCCTACACTAGCTTCAATTTCCAACAATGCTCAAAATAAATTTTCGGTAAAATATAAATTTTGGAGGACAAGTTGTTAAAAGCTAAAAAGAGCACCAAAGAGACAACCCAACAAAAGTTTCTGTTTGGTTTCCCACTTTTTTTGTCCAAGAAAAGCACTTGTTGGTTGATATATTCTTTACTTGCATATAGGATTAGAGATTGAGATTCCCAATCGGCTTCATGCTCCTTTTGGCCTAGAAAAGTAGAAGTACATGTGAAAAGAAAGAGAAAGGTGTCGACAACTACAAACAAGCTTCACTTTCTCTTTTCATTAAACGAAGCAAAATATAAAAGAGTGGGGATCACAGTAAAAGGCTAATAACGCCAACACAAAGTTCCCAAGCAGCTATATAGCCCTAAAATATATCAACTTGTCTTACAACTCTCACCATTGTGTTCGGAGAAAACAACTTCACTCCCCTCCCTCTCACTAATAACTTCCGAATTTCTACATCATTGTTAGAGGATGGCAAAAAAAATTAACCTATAATAATAATAATAACAAAAGGGTGTCATCCACTGCAATTAGTCTTTTCTTTTTGCATCACTTGGTTCGGTACTTGTCCTCAACATTGCTTCAAAGCCCCAGCAAAATGTAGTAAACCAGCGTAATAGGAAGAGCAATTAGCATTCCAAATATAACCCTGCATCAAAACAAAGCACCAAAAAGAGTTTTTTAATGTTTTAATAATAATAGTGGGAACAAACACAAAGATAATGAACAATAGAGGATTCTAACCCAGTGCTTAGTATGTCTGGATGAACGTTGTACTCCTTAGCAAACACAAAGGGCACAATCCCTTGTGGCAAAGCAGCCTGAAAATACGCAACACATACATTGAACATGAAAAACATCAATTGGTAAAACCTCAAAACAAAGAGCAATAATTATATTAACAATTTATTCTTAAAAACATTAATTACACTTTTTTATTAATAATTTTTTTCCAACTTTATCATTTTTAATTTTTAAAATCAGTCTAAAAAATAATGTAAACATTTTCCTTAAATAAAAGGTCAAGTCCTTTTTACCTGTACAATAGCAATGTGCAACAGAACTCCCCTGAGCCCCACAACGATTGAAGCAACGGCCATGACAGCAGGACCAGTGAGGAAACGGACAGCCATAGCAAAGGAAGCAACCGAGTTTCCACATGCAATTATCCTTGGTTGCAATGCCATGAATAACCCTTCAACCCACCAATCAATTCAAATATTAAGACAAGACCAGAACAATTCTATAACAACAAAGCCAAATCAATCCTTAGTAGCAAACACACCAAGGCTAAACATTGCCATCCCTAGGCCAGCATCGGACAAAATTGATATTGATTTAGCAACAATTGCAGGCATAACAACATTCCACCTGAAATACAACATAAAACATTAACCAAAACCATTAAAATTACATAAGCAACCAAACCAATAGTGAAATATTTAAATTTGTAAGAAAGTTATATACTTGAATGAGATTAAAGACCACGTGAGACCAATGAGGCTTGAGTAAGTGTTGGGGTTCCTAATAAGCTTTCTCCACACCATAATCAAAATGAGTCTGGTCATAACACTAGCAGGTGGCATGGACGTGGGTTTAGAATCACCCTGTGCCCCACCTTTTGGATGAAGCTCAGCAGTGGAGCTTGAACCAAGCTTCGAAAGTACTGGCCCTTCCTTGTCCACCCCATTAGCAACGGTTCTGTTTCCGAAGCTAAACTCATCGTGACCAAAATCATCATATTCTGAAAATCAAAGAAATCAAAACACAAGAAAATGACATAACCATTTAAGGACAACACAACGCAAAGGAAAAAGTCCAACAAACACCACTCCATCCTTGACACCAACGACCATTTAAAAGAGACAAAAATAACATATGCATACTTGCAACAACAAAACTAGGAAAGTAAAGTAGAAAATAAAAGTCACATTAGAACAAAGATCACTAGTCAACAAAAACAAAAAAAAAGGTCAAAAGGGGAAGATAAAAGATAGTTTTTTGAAATGAAAAAAAGCAAACCTTTATGGTGAGGCACCCCACCAAGCTGGTCATTTCCAAAATCCCCACCACCTCTGAAGACATGGATTCCACCTTCAGAAACAGGAGAAGCACTAGAACTCCACACAAACATGTGAAGATCCTTTCCACCTTCACCATTCCCCTTCTTATTCTTTGTCACCGGAGAAAACAACCCACCATTAGGAGGAGCAGGGTACGCTCCACCACCACCATTAACTCTTCCACTCTCTTCATCAAAACCACCTCCAAAATTAGACTGTCTTGGACTTACGTTCCTCCCGTTCACCATAGAGTAAAAATCAGTGTGATTAAAACTAGACCCTCTTGGAGTTGGATTCCTCGAAGACTGAAGAGAATAAATCTCGGCATTGGTCAAATTTGAAGGACGAGGGGTCAACGAAACCCCGGAGTTTGGACCCTGAGAACGTCGAGAGAATATCTCAGAACGCGAACTCGCACTCTTCCTCACAGTAACATGAAGCTTCCCATCTTCACCAACCTCAGCTTCAGTCTGAAGAGGCTCTTTCCCATCCAAAGAGATGATATCAGAGTCAACCTTGAAGGAAATGATTGAACCTGCAGTGTCAGGGAACTGCTCCACAATGAGAAGCCTCGCACCCCTATACTCAAACAAGAACAACATAAGAGTGTACCAAATGATGCACTGCAGAACCACGATTTGAACCATGAGAGTCCCTGAGGCATCACCATACATGCCCTTCAGCAATGGGATTCCCATGACGAGCGTGTTGGGGAGTGTGGAGAGAGAGAAGAGCGTAATGGACCATTCCAAAGAGCCTCTAGAGCTTGTTCTTGACCACACCAAAAGAACCAACAAGACTATGGCTTTTTGGAGTGAGTCTGCAGCTATGAACTTAAAGTTCATTGCATAAGGGTTGTTGGTGGAGATGAAGTGAAAGGAGAGAAGTGGGACTGCGAAGAGTGCCACGAAACGGTTTATGCCCGAGCATTGATCTGGGGTGAAGATTTTCCACCATTTTACTGAACCATATGCCAGGATCATTGCCACGTAGAGTGGCACCACCGCTGTTAGAACGTGGTACAAGTCTATCAATGTTATCATTGTTATGTTTTGTAGGTGAAAAATTTTCAGAGGCAGAGTGGGAATTGAGAGAGAAGAGAAGGGTTTTGGCTTATGGCATTTTTAAGGCAGACAAGCAAATGAAAGATGAGCTCATTTGTCAAGCTTTTATAAGTCTTTTCGGCTCCAGCAAAAGACACAAAAAAACCTTCTCATAAGTATGTTACTAAGAATGTTACTTGGAAATGGGTATTTATTAGAATTGTTTATTAACTAAAATTAAAAACTTACGATAATATTAAATATAATTTTTTATTAAAATAAAATAAAAAATTTTAAAAAAATAATTTAACAGTACATGAGGAATGGCATATAATATTGAAAATTTCTTTTATTTAAAAAAAAGTTCAGGTCAGTGTTGGGAGAGTGACAGAGTGTGTGGGGTGAGTGGGAATGAAAAGCGATATTTATGAGAGGGAAAGGAGGGGGGAGCATCGCAGATAAAGGTGGAAAAAAGGGAAGACGCAGAAGAGCTTCTAAAGATTCTCATGCCTTTTTGCAGTTTATATGCTGTCATCTTATAGCACATGAGATGCAAAATTATAAACCAGCCACAGCCACGGTAGGAAAACAAAATTCTTCTGTCCTTCAATCGATTCATTTTATTTTTCTCTGTCGGGAGGGAAAAACAAGTTTCAAACAGAATCCAGAATGCACTCTTTTTTAAAATCATATAAATATAATTGAGTTTTCTTTTAATTATGATCATTTTAATTTTATTTGTTTTATTGTATTGAATTTTAATTTTAATTGCACAAATTAATGAAATCAAAATTTTAATTCAAAAATACTTCAATTAGTATTTATAAGTTGTGCTAGTTCGTCTCTTTTGAGTAAACTTTTAAAAAAAATCTTAATAAATAAAATATTTTTCATTAGTTAAAAATGATCTATTTTTTAAAATTCTAAAGCTTTTTAAAAATAGAAAAATTATAATTTTTTCCTAATAAAACTTCTGTAGAAATAACATTCGATATCAAACAGGAAATTTTCCTTTTTAACGATTCACTTTGTTTGTTTGACATAAAATGGGATGATTCAAATTTGAGAGAATAAATTCTTTTTATTTTAGCTCACTTCAACGATGTATAAATTTGTCTAATTCTTGTGAACTCTACATGTTTGCCTTTTTTTTTTTTTTTTTCCATTGTCGTGAAATAGATTACAAATCGAGAGTCATTATCGTCGCTTCACTTTTGCCCTTGTTCAAAAAATAACGGATATTATGGTCTTTTAAAACAAGGTGCCCTCTTAATTTTTATTTTTAATTCATTTACACATAAAAAATTATCCAGTTTCTTTCATTTTTATTATTTTCATCAATTCAAATATCATATTATTTTATTTTATTTTATTCCATTCCTTTATTTTTCTAGTATCTAAAGAGAGGCTAAGTGATGAAGAGTAATCCTGTTCGGAGAATAAAATGAGAAATTTTATTTGCAAAAAATATGTATATATAATATATGATCAACACTAAGGAGAATATTAACGGATATAAATGATAGAAGCTAAATTACTTTTAAAAAAATATTGTTTAATATTAATATATTATATCATATTTTTTGTAAAAAACTATTTATTATTTTTTAATTTATTATTCTCAACTCTCTTTTAAAAATAATCTCATAAAGTCGTTATTTAACCTTTAAATAATTTTAATCATGAAAGAAAATTCAAATTATTACATCTTTTAAAAGAAGTATCACACACTCAAATTCTTTTTTTATTTTGTAAAAATATTTTTTGTTCAAGCTTAAAGTTCTTTCCCGGTACAAATTCAATTTCACAAGTAGAATTTTAAGTGTTAAATTTAACTTTATTTATTATTTGAATTTTTCTTTATAAATTAATGGTTAAAATTTATTTGTCTTCATTTACGTAGAGAACAATCCTTTCATTTGACGTATCTAGAAAATAACGTTCTATTAAATTTATCTTTTGAATTCATGATAACTTCTTTTGTTTTCGACCTATAATTTTGAAGAGGAAAATTCGCACTTATCCCTTTTGCATGGTAGTCAAAGTTTAGGTGGTGCTTTTAGACTTAAAACTCATCTACACCAACCAATCAAAGCAAAAAAAAGCACGACTTTAACATGCTTCAACTTGTTTACTTTTATAATGGGATGAAAAAATTAATAATAAAATATGTTTTGTTAAGAATAACTTACGTGGAGGATGTGTTTGCAAAATGAATATCGCTAATAACATTTTTTAATATACTTTTTTATAAAATATTTCAGAATGATTCTCTTGGCGGTAAATTTTTAGGATTCAATTCACTTTAATTTTTGAATAGTAAAAATATTTGTGATCGATTTATTTTAAAAATTGGAATAATTTTTTAAAAAAATATTAATTTATTAGGCATTTGCTTCAATATTTTTAAATATGGATCAATTATAAAAAGTGTATTAAATAATGTATTTAAAAGAATATGCTACTAATATTTTTCTTAGTAAAATTAATGTATTAAAGCTTACTAACAAACTAAAACTAGAAGAAATATTCCAAGGAAAATAGTTACCACTGAAATGATCAAATTGTCATAAACGTTAATGGAAAGAATCTTACACAAGTAAAATAAAAAGTTTGTTCTAATACTTAAAATCATAAAATTCTCCTACCTGATTATTGAGAGTTATTAACTATGCTATAAAAAACAATGCCTACAGGGAAGATTAACATGTCATGTGTGATATACTGAATACAAGTGAATAAAGCTTTAATTACTCAGCTTTGATTTGAAATTTTATAAATTTTTATATTTTCTTGGAGTTTAAAAATTCAGTAAATTTTTATGTATTTTAAATAATTTATCTTAAAAATTAGGATAATAATTTTTAAATTTATTCTCATTTTTAAATATTTTTATTAAACAAAATAAGATAATGTAAATAGATTTATATTATAATTTGAATCATTCTATAGTATAAAAATAAAGAAATGTAATAGAGGCATTCCCTTAACCTTGGGTAGGGATGAGGACTGAATTTGGGGGGTTCTTTTGGCTATAGGAAAGGTGCAGTGAAAGAGGAAAATATTCTTGCAAGAAACATTCAAATAGTTAAGTTAGTGGGGATTTTCAAAGGGAGTTCTTTAGAAGGCTACAATGAACTTACTTGAGGCTTTGGTATATCTGCCTTTATACAGGCATTGGTTATCTCGTGTTTTGATTTTTCATTGCTACACTGACGTTAGTTGTCGGGTTAATAGCATGTGATAGAAGTAATTTGATGGGACTAACACAGTGTGCGCCTAAGCTCTTAGTTAATCAAAGGTTGGACACATGAATTACGTTTGACTGACAAGAAAAATCTTAGGAGAGCCTGCTTTGACATACCTAATTCAGTGTTATTGGTCTTTAGGCAGCTCATGGTGGGTTATCTGTGATCCCATGTGGGTCTTTTAGTCATTTAACCGCTGTCGATTGTATAACACCAGATCAACTTCTTTCTATGGAAAGTTAAGAATGGTAGTTTTCTGACCAAAATAGAAAGATGTTAAAAATTGCTCTAAAATAACAATATTTGTACTATATTCGTTCGTAAGAAATTTTAAAAAATCATATGTCAGATAACAAACTATGAATAACGAGTATGGTTGTGGGGATAAACGTACCAACAAGTATAAGAATAGGGATCAAAGCTGTGACCTAATATGGTATATAGAGATCAGTACGAGTAATTTTTTAGAGTGCAAATAATCTTGCAGACTGAAATGTTAGTTACTTGGTCAAATCCTTTATCTCAGACAGTGAAGCTCAATATAAATGGATCAAGGAAACAAAATTCTAGTTAGCTATGAGGGCCTTCTTAGAGACACCTCAAGCCATTTCCTAAAGGTTTTTATTGCAAACTTGGCCTATCTTTGATTAGATCAGACCTGTGGGGACTGCTTTGGAGCTTTAGAATGGCTAAATGTTTAGATGAGAGAAATCTAGTTGTGGGGATTGGCTAGCAGGTAGCTATCAGAATGGTGAGAGAAATAGTCTCTCAATTTCATCATGCTTCTCATTAGGAAGATTGGGAGACTTATTTCCTATCCATAATAGACTGTTAGATGCACCATGTAGAGAAACAAATAAACGTGTGAAGTTCTTAGCTGATCTAAGCCACCCAAGTCCTTTTCTTTGTCAATTTCTAGAGGTCCCTCCTCCCTTACTTATTCCTATCCTCCTGGAAGATGCATATGGGATAGCTTTTACTGGATTAATCTTGTAATCATTCATTGGGTGCATTATCCTATTCAATGTAAAAAGAAATACAGGATAAGTCACATGGCTTGAGAAAAAAAAATGTCTCCTAAAATAATTCTTGTTCAATCATAAGGACTTATATTTATAATACAAAAATATATAAATATTTAATTTTAATAAATTTTAACATAAACAATCAAGATAATGTAAATTCACAATTTAATAGTTAGATCAATAAAATATAATTTATATAAAATTATTAATGATACAATAATCAGTGAACTTATAGAGGTAAACCTCTGTACCTTTGATCATGTAGAGATTAGGAAATTTCACATTTAATTCTAAAAAAGAAAAATTATAAGTTAATTCTAAAAAAAATTTAGTCAATTAAATTTTAAAAAATAGCATAATTTATTTACTAAATATATTAGAATAAACAATATTTAACGCCTGTATGTCATGATGGTAAGTCATTGTCGATTAAGCAACCACGTAATTTATTTTCATTTCATTCTTATTTTCTGAACTAGCTATTTTAGTAGTAAAAATAATTTATGTAAACAAATTCATGCACAAGAGTCGCCGTGAATGTAAAGCAGGGTTTTCCTTAACAACATATAATGTATATCTGGTTTAAAATAATCACTTGTTTTTTTTTTCTCAAATTTCTAAAAGAACTTAAAAATTATTTCCTCAAATTAGTCACTCATAAATCATGTGTACAATGCATTCGATTATTGACGATGATGATTAACTAATGTAACTTTTTTGGTAATTA